GGTGCTGGATGATCCAAGTGAAGACCATCTGTACATGGGTAAGTCTGGCCAGATACTCATCCTCTTGGCAGATGCTACACACTTGCACATGTACAATTTATTCTACTTTTTGGTGCTTAATGTATGTGAAGCCAGAGAATGTAATGCACAACACCTTAACTCCTCTTCCTCTGTGCTTTCACAGTATTCGAGCTTGTCAAACGAGGGTGAGTAAGCACGTTATTTCTGATTGTAGCGCCGGCTCCTGCTGTGCTAGTGTCACTCTGCTACAGAAACTGTGTCTCATTCCCCATGTGTTTGCAGAGCAGTGATGGAGGTTCCTGCTGATAAGCCCCTGGATGAGGACCAGGCACGCTTCTACTTCCAGGACTTGCTGAGAGGAATCGAATATTGTGAGTGCGGGAATTTAGCTAAAGCTTAGCGATGTCATCAGTACTCATGATTGGTTCTAGTACATCCAGCTAAAAGGGCACGATACCTTGCAATTGGCTAGGCTCTGATAAGTGTTATGGAGCCACACTTTTAGACTTAGACTATTAGTCTTTTCCACAAAGCTTATTCTGGCCAAGAACAACCCACTTAGCAGTGTTATTTTAGTATTGTTTATATACTATTATAGTATTTATTAATAGTATATTTTAGTTTTTTGTATGTTTAAATTTGTCATTTTGTCATGTGGTTTTGACATTGTTTTTTTAAAAAATATTGTATAGCTTCCTTTTTTATATACTATTATAGTATGTATTAATATTTTGACAGGCTATATATATTTAGTATATATTCAGGTTTTTATTTTTATTTTATGTTTAGGTTTTAGTCACTTTGTCGTGCTTTTGTCATACTTTTCGTCTACATATTGTAATTTTTTTTGCAAGTTTTGTCTTAAAATTTACACTTTCTTTTATATCCTAATTTTTTCAAGTTTTAATCATTTCGTCATGTGCTTTTGTCATTTTTACCATATTTTCAGTATTTATATATTTAAAAAAATATATTTTATTCTTTAATTTTAATACTTAATCTTATTATATTTCAGTTAGTTTCTAATACAAGGTTATCAATACAAGTTTTTTTAATGTTAAATTAAGCATTATTTATATTTTATTTCAGCTTTTTAATAGTTTTAGTTAACGACAACAGCACTGCCACTTATACAGGAAGAAGCCATCTGACTGACATTTAAAGTAAATCTGTGTACCAATAGCATAAAAACAATCAGATTAGAGCTTTTAGTTTTCATCTGCAATATGCATCAAACAGTGAGACTAGACACAGTTCTTGTTGCTAGTCATCAGAATGCTTTAAATAACAATCAAAAGTGATGTCAACTACTTATCCTCAACAGTACATTATCAGAAAATCATCCATCGGGACATCAAGCCTTCCAACCTGCTGGTGGGAGAAGATGGTCACGTTAAGATTGCCGACTTTGGGGTCAGTAACCAGTTTGAGGGAACGGACGCCCTGCTGACCAGCACAGTGGGAACGCCAGCATTTCTTGCCCCAGAGACCCTTTCAGAGACCCGCAAGAACTTTTCTGGAAAGGTTAAAAGCTCTTTTCTCTAAGATAGTTGCTAATTTTGCTGTCAATTGCTGTCAAGTTTGATTTGATCAGGTTAACATCATGTTTTTATAGGCTCTGGATGTGTGGGCTATGGGAGTCACCTTGTACTGTTTCATCTTTGGAGTGGTACGCTCTGTTTTGACCGGTGTTAAAAAATAATCCAACATTTAATTCTGCAAAACTGTGTAAAGTGTGTAAAATGGATGTTGCCTTTGACTATACTTTCTCTCTCCACAGTGTCCTTTTATGGATGAGCGTATTTTGAGCCTCCATCAGAAGATCAAGGCCCAACCGGTGGAGCTTCCCGAGAAGTAAGTATTTCTCTTGAGCCTGAAAGACCTTCCCCTTCTGCTTTGACATTGATAGCATTTTTGTACCACTTTACAGCGCGGACATATCAGATGACTTAAAGGACCTTCTTTTTAAGATGTTGGACAAGAATCCCGAAACCAGAATTACTGTCCCACAAATCAAGGTCAGTATGACTCTTTTCTTCACCAAGGACGTTTTCTTTCGAGTCCATCATAGGTGAAATGCGTAATTTCAGAACCACTAACGACACCAATAATGTTTCCTGATAGCTAGTCCTCATCTGTGATTGGTCAGAAAAACAAGCAGTTTTGCCCCAGAATCGCTCTATTGGTTGATGTTTTGTTTTTCCCCTTATACACATACACACAACCGTTCAAAAGTTTGAAAGAAGTCTCTTATTCTTACCAAGTTTGCATTTATTTGATCAAAAATACAGTAAAATCAGTAATATTGTGAAATATAACTGCAATTTATATATACATTGCAGTTATATTTCACAATATAACTGCAATATTTCATAATATTACAATATTTCAGTTATATTTATATTTGTAGTTATATATATATATATATTATATATATATATATATATATATATATATATATATATATATATATATATATATATATATATATATATATATATTAAAATGTAATTGATTCCTTTGATGGCAAAGCTGAATTTTACTCCAGTCTTCAGTGTCACATGATCCTTCAGAAATGGTGATTTGGTGCTCAAGAAACATTTCTTATTTTGATCAATATTTAATACACTTGTGCTGCTCAATGTTTAATTAGTCTTAAAGGGATAGTTCACCCAAAAATGAAAAGTCTGTCATCATTTATTCACCCTCAGGTTGTCCCAAACCTGAATGAGTTTCTTTGTTCTGTTGAATACAAAAGAAGATATTTTGAAGAATATGGTAACTAGACAGTTGACAGTAGCCATTGACTTCCATAGTATTTTTTTTTCTTCCATACTCTGGAAGTCAATGGGTCCAATCAACTGTCTGGTTACCATTTTCTTGAAAATATCTTCTTTTGTGTTCAACAGAACATTTGGAACAACTCTCACTGACCCCAAACTTTTGTTTTGTACACGATAGTGTAGTTTTTCTTATAATGTTATATTTAGCCTCCATACTTCAATTGAACCAAAAATAGAACTCTTCCTTATTCTTAAAAGAGGATTTCAAAGCACTTCCTGTGTGAATATAGGACACTCCAGCAACCTAGACACAGCCTCGAGTTAATTAATGATATCAAAGCTGGAATTTTTGTTCCGTTGTTGTTGTAGGTGCACCCATGGGTGACACGGCACGGTGCTGAGCCCCTCCCCCCTGAGGATGACAACTGCTGCAGTCTAATAGAAGTGACAGAGGAGGAAGTGGAAAACTCTGTCAAGCACATCCCCAGCCTGGCCACCGTGGTGAGATCTCAAACCCCTGGTGGCCTATTTACACAACCTTCATTCTGTTTTATGAATACGCATAATGGATTCAGTGCTAATAACCACATCAAATTAATAAACAGATTAATGACCCAATGCCTGTTTTTGAAACTTACTGCATGTTCTCTGCTACAGATCTTGGTTAGGACTATGTTGCGCAAGCGTTCTTTTGGAAACCCGTTTGATTGGGGCCGCAGGGAAGACAGGAGTCCCACCGCTCCAGGACACATGCTATCGTAAGTCTTCCTCAGTTGGGATGAGCTATAACTGGAACAGACATCCTGAACATAGACTTGGACTTCTGCAGTGGTTTCTGTGATCATTGAAAATCTGGAATGGTTTTTATAGCTGGTTTGACAGTACTTTAATTGGACCTACTAATATAGACGTACTATATAAAAGACTATGTCACTACACTAGGTTCCAATGTAATACTATAATGATGTATTTTCAGGTTAAATAATGTTTAATGTCTATGCAAAGCATTTCCACAGAAAATAATTTTGACTACTTTCTCAATTCCTTAAATACAAATGAAAAGGTTGTTTACAGCAGTGCACCGAAAGCCTGGTAGGCAAGCTATGCTTTAATACAGGGGTCTCAAACTCAACTTAACTGGGGGCCGCTGGAGGTAGAGTCGGGGTCAGGCTGGGCCGCATCAAGTATTCCACAAAAAATAGTATTCAAGTATTCCAAAAAAGGAGCACAACTGATCCAATCTTCTCAATATTTTTTATTAACGTTTCTTCTGAACTGTTCCTCTGAATTTGAACATTCCTTTCTGTACATGATTGGTTCTTCATGAGCTGTCCTTCTGACAGTTGAAGTTCATTTTTACAAACTTTCTTTGTCTATAACACATATTTGTGATATTTATATTTGCTTATGTCCTTTTTATTTTCTTTATACAACACATTAATGATATTGAATGTTTTTTTTTTTTTGGAAGGCACATTTCCTTTTATTATACTTAGAAAAACAATTATTGCTTTTGAAATACAAATATTTGCAGTCATGTCTGCCCGTCTTATTGAATTATTTCTACACATGCCATGTCTCAGGCAAATGACTGACTTTGCACAAATCAAAGCAAACTGTCTTATTAACCTGTTGGACACATATTACAAGCTCAAAATGATTATTCTCACATTGTTTTAGAGCAGGGTCTCTCTCCAACACGTCGCTCGCGAGCTCGACAAGGGGCCGTTGCCGTTCTCATATCGCGCTCACATATTTTGCGAGCTCAAGTTCGTTATTTCAAATGTAGGCGCGCGGCAAGCACGCTCATAATTGAAGCGACGCGCTCATTTTTTCCAGGCGCAGTAAGTTTGTACTTCGCGGTTGTCATTGACAACTATTGACAACAAACCCACCGTAAGCTGTCACGAAACTATCTATGTTAGCACATAAGGGATAAAGAAATATATATATTTTTTAAAACGCGGCACATGCAACGACGGGCCGCACTAACATTAAACTTTAATGTCAAGTAGGGGGCCACAAAATATCACCCCGCGGGCCGCAAATGGCCCTCGGGCCGCGAGTTTGAGACCACTGCTTTAATATATTATTCAGCAAAGATGCTTTAAGTTGATCAAAAGTGACAGTATAGACATTTATAATGTTACAAAATATTTCTATATCAAATACAACGTTCTATTCATATACAGTAAGAATTATGGGGAAAAAGGTTTTCCACAAAAATATGAAGCATTACAACTGTTTTCAACATTGATGAAAATGATAAGAAATTATTCTCTAACACTAAATTAGCATGATTTCTGAAGGATCATGTGATTTCTGGAGTAATAGCTGCTGAAAATTCAGCTTTGCGTCACAGGAATTAATTCCATTTCAAAATAAAAAGCGGTTATTTTCTCTTAGTTGATAAATGAATGGGTTTTAAATCATATATCACATATTGAAACCAAAACTCATTGTTAACATTAAACGCTTTTAATGTACTTTCCGTTATCTACCTGATTAACCTGCTAAGCTGAAATGCTTCACGCAAGATGCTAAAGGCTCTGTCCCAAATGGCTCATTTGATGTGGACTTGTGGCCTTCACTTGTGTGCATCCATTAAATCCACAACACCAAGATGCATTCAAAATCATATACTGTTTTTTTTTAAAGTACGTTCTATATATTATGAATGTTTGTAGTATGAATGGAATCCGGACGTACTACATTCACCATGTTGACTCTGTCATGTGAGCTAAAGCGTTAGTTGCGTTACGTCACTGCCACTCACAGATCCTCTCCCGTTGCCTCATGGGATAGTAAAGTGCCCATCGGATGTGCATGCCAGATTCTCACCAAAAGTTGTAGGTCATCCGGTTACTTTTCACCTAATGTTTTATGAATACTGAAATTTGGATATACTACTTTTTTCACCTACTATATAGTAGGGAAGTATGCATTTTCTGACACATAGCGCCCATATGTAATTTTGTGACTCATGAGCGCCCCCTTTGGAGCTATGCACTCTGTTGCAATGATATTCTAGGTTGATTACTACCTAGCAAAGTAATATAAGCGTATAATATTAGCTTTGCTAAGCTCGTCGTTACTTTACTTTTTAAAACCATAAAGACGAGTATAAATTATTTTCTGTGGTAATCAATAGCATGTTTAAGTAATATTTAGCATGAAACATTCTTTTAAGGCTTTTGTTTAGTCATGGTTTCAGGAATATTTGATAGATACGCTCCGATTTAAGAATTCTCACATATCCGCATCTCTCCTGCCGTCTAGAAAAGGGAGAGCAGGGAGTTTGAAATACTGCCGCAATCTCTGTACCCCCAGGTAAAGCTCCGCTAGCCTGTTAGCGCTCCACCTATGTCCTGTTCACTCTCCTCCACCTGTATTATATGTAGGAGATAATGGTCATGCCCATATTGAATGGTCTGCACTTAAAATGAATGATGTGGTGTTTTTTTAGCATGCTTTTAGGATCAAAACAATTCTCATTCGGATGGCTTAATGAATAACAACTTCTCCGCTTGTGTTTTCCTACCTAATAAACAGCATTTTATGCATGTAATATCTCAAATATTCATGATATTCCCTTCTAAAAACCTCTTGTATGTATTTAACTGTACAAGCTATGTTCAATAATAGTACATCAAGCATTTATATTTTGCATGTAATGTTTTAACAGATAAATATAAGTTCATGGGCAGTTCAGGATGATGTTTTCCACGTCCTTCTAAATATCTGCATGCCCCTCATGCATAATATCAGCAACGCAAAGAAAAGAGCATCCTGATTTGCCACCCAGCCATGGTCATTTTTTACAAGGACTTTGATTGGTTTGTCGGACTGGGTGCATTTGCATGTGGCACCGCAGTCCCAGCCTCCCCGGTACAACCCCTCGCAAAAACATGGCAGTCAGTCACTCTCATGTGCCGCCTCCTGACCCGAGCATATGACTGATGCGATGCCATGTACTTCCCCTCGTGCTGACTTAATTTACCCACTGCCTAACAGTTCTAGTCGCACTTAACAACAGTCTGCATTGCCGCAGACAGGTTGACGCGCCTGGAATGTGCGACTGTTTTAAACCTCCACATTTATCTGTTTCCTAGGAAACAAGAGAGCGAGGAAGGCGTGCGGAGCATGGACCTGCCCTTCGTGGGCGAGGATGAAGTTCTGTCCTGATAACTGTGGGCGTCTTACTCAAGGGAAATGCATCAAGATGGGGCTGTTGTGGCTTCCGGAAGGCCAGGAAATGGACCTGGGGCTGGGGCGTTGTTGATGTGGAGGGTGCCCACCCGTTCATGCATGCATTTGTACAGTCCACAGCAGCATGCACCGTATCTGTCCGCCCAGGTCTCTGCCGTCTCTCAGGACCCGTTTTCTGTGTGCGCGTGTTTCTACTCTCCTCTCCGGAACGGAGACTCTGCTCTACTCCTCTACTGTAGCTAGGGGGCGCCACTGAAGGCCAAACGGATGATCATCTTTAAGAATTATTTTTAGAAGAAATGTACAATTTCTTCGGTTTGTCCATCAGTCATTAATTAGAGAGACATTCTGCTTGATTTCAGTTTTGGAGATCTGACCTAAATTTGAAAATAATCATTCAAAATTAATTTCATTTTGAAAATCTTCTAAAAAAAAAAAAAAAAAAACAGGTTTGACAAAATTAAGAATAAATAATATACTGTATGTGTATTAACTTTAGTGAAATAAATTAATAAATGGCCTTTAATAATTAAAAATACTCAAATTTGCACGCAATGTTCACTAATACGTCTTTAGAAGAAATGTATGATTTCTTAGGTTGGTCCATCAACTCATCGGTTATAGAGACATGCTGCTTGATTGCAGTTTTACAGATCTCTCATTAGATTATTAGAACTGTGTTTGAAAATAATAAAAGAAAAATAGCTCGGAGTTTCATCAGATATTAATTTCAACTTGAAAATCTTCAAAAAAAAATCAGGTTTGTTTGATCAAAGATAAAATTTGAAAATAATAATAAAAACAAATAAATAAACAAAAAAGTACAATTTTTAAAAGTTTTAAATGAGTTTTTAATAATTCAAATTTGCAGCCAGGAAATGTGTATAAATATAGTAAGGAGACAGGTGCGATTTAAAGAAAATACAGATATGTTTGTATGTGTGTGTTTGTTTATATATCAAATCACACCGCTTTGTGTTTGTATTATAATGTCTGCGCTGTAGACAGTGAACAGGACCAGACCTGGACTTTTTTTTTTAATACAACAAAGTCCAAATCCAAGAGATCAGAGTATTATGCATAGCATGTTTTTGAATAGTAGTTTAATTATTTAGGGCGCAAATAACATCTAGATAGTGCCACTATAGGCATCGTGATCATTCTTCTCCTTGTATGTACAGTATCGTGACCCTTTTAATCATGAAGGTAACAGTATCTTTCGCTTCCTTTTCCTGTGTAGAATTACCAAAATGCCATATAGTAGTGCATTCCCGACTTCGTCGTGATCAGAGTGAATTAGTCATTTCTATACTCTAACGTTCTTGAGGAAATACAATAACTTTGTGCAATCTATGCATGACTTTTCACTTAAAGGAATCAATGTTTGTCAGTCTGGTTTGACACAAATGTATGCCTTACATTTTCATACTCATAACTGTAGCATAGATCATCAGTACATGTGCAGAGTTTTTTTTTTTTTTTTTGGTACAATAGAAATGTAGAATTTTAGATAAGTGTAGAAATATAGTAACTTGCTTAAGCTCAGTTTTAAAGTTAGCAAAAATAGTCCAAAGCCCTGTTGAGATTTTCTCAATGTGCACTATGGTCATGTATCTCCTGTGTTGATTATTTTTCTATGATCGTTTTAGCTGTAGTTTCAAAATGTCTGAGTGATGGTGCTTTTCCACCACTGAAATTTATAACATAGTTCATGCTTCCATGTATCAGGGGAGTGTTTTCTGCACAAGTAGGTTGAATGTATGTTGTTGGTTTACCTTGTAACTAAAGTAAACTCTATACCTTATTTTTATTCGTTAACTTTTTTCCCCCTGCATGTTAAACTTTGCTGTGTTTTATAGTACTTGTTTTGTGTGATTTTTATTTCTTTCTTTTTTTCTCTTTTAGAGATTTATTTTTGTGTAGGTACTATTACTATGCATAAGAAATCTCACATTGTGGTGCAGTTCTGGACAGAGTCAGTCGGTTGGTCCTTTGTGTTTGTTCTATTGGATGTTGATTATTGAAAATTGAAGGAAACTTGTAATATTGTCTCAAATATGCATGTGCACTGACAAACCCAAGCTGGTTATACAATACCACTATATGTAAGTGGACATTTGAATGATTTGCTGAACAAATTTTGGTGACCTTTTAAAGGTGATTTATGGACATCTTTTGTTTAGAGATTTAGGAAACATTCCAAGTTCCAATGCTTGTTTCTCCGAAAAACAACTTTATTCTACTTTGAAATGTGCATTCCGTGTTGGAATGCCTGTTTTTGTTTTGGTCTGTATGACCCCGCCTACTTCCAATTCACCCAATAGTATTTAGACACTCCGGGTTGCCAGTTGACGGAAAACGCAGCGTATTGCAGGTATGGAAGCCGGCAAACGAACAGGGTCAGAGATTGCAGATTCTACTCGACCTAAAAAAAAACCATTGGAAATAAAACATTACAAACGTATACATTAGCTGGGCAACTTACAGTTCCATTGTCAACTGCACTCGTTTCTGTTGCATGTCCTCAATCTGGCAACGTGCGTGAGTGTCGAGTCTGAGGAGGACGGGGTGGGGGGAACAACTCTCCAGTATTTTGAATTTGAACTGTAGTACCCATTTAAACCACTAGCTGCCAATATTACATACTGCACATTTAAATGATTTATTCAGGACCATAGAAGCACCGTTCCCCGAGTAAATATTTATATAGAAAATCTAAATATATATATATAGAGAGATTTATCTTTGCACATTAGAATGTTATCATAATTCAAATGATGCATATTTATTGAAAACTTTAAATGAAGGCCCTGTAACCATGTTTTCTTCCGTATGATCAAAACTAGGAGCAAATTTAACCTGCTGAAATCAAAGACAGCATCTTTCAGTTTCCAATGTATAGCCATTTTCTCAGAGACTGACCATGTGAACGGTACTTTGAATTGATTGATTGTAGAGGTGTATATTGAAGAGTACGCTGTAGGCTACTGTATATTTCTAACCTCTCAATATAATTCCTCACTGTATCTGCCCAGTATTTCTTGAAGGGCTAGGGTAAATGTTTGCATCCATATCACAAAAGAGATTGCGTTTTGAGCACTGTTGAGAGGGCTGTTTACATGTTACAAAAATGCATGCCGTCACATTCACGCAGTTTCATTTCGAAGCATGTTTGAGCTCTTTACAGCATCCTCTGATCTCATTACTGATAATTCTATATATTGTATCCGGTTGATTATTTGAATAAATTGAAGTTGCCTATAGTTTTGCTTTTTCATAATTTTTTTCTTTTTGCTCATTATTATATGGTAATAGTGTAGATTTAAAGGAATAGTTCACACACAAATAATTATTCTGTCAGCTCATCTACATTCCACAGTATCGGCAGAATGCCATGTTTGGCACAGCATGAGGGTGAGGAAATGATGACAGAATTTTGATCTCTCTCTCAAATTCAAATTCAAAATTGCTTTATTGGAATGGCTGTAAACAATACTATTGCCAAAGCGTGGAATACTTAGAACATTATTAAAAACATCAAAATAAATAGGATAATAACTTAACTTAAATTTAAATAGTGTAACAAATTAGAACATGTGTGAACATTTGATACCATAGTGTTTTCACACACACACACACACACACACACACACACACACACACACACACACACACACACACACACACACACACACACACACACACACACACACACACACACACACACACACACACACAACACTGAGGGTCACTGTGGTGGACAGTGGAGAAACGCATTGAGGTCAGACACAATACACACATTACACACACATTGTGATACAGTGCTGGTCAAAATTATTTGCCCCCTTGGTAAATTTGATCAAAGATGGCTGTAAAAAAATCTGCATTTTATTAAAAAATATAAGCAAAAATCTAACCTTTCATTGAAGTAAAAGAATTGAAAGTGGAGGGGAAATCACATTATGAAATAAATGTTTCTCTCCAAAACACGTTGGGAACAATTATTTGCCCCCTTTTATTAAATACTTTTTGCAACCTCCTTTTTCCAAGATAGCAGCTCTGAGTCTTCTCCTATAATGCCTGATGAGTTTGGAGAACACCTGACAAGAGATCAGAGACCATTCCTCAATACAGAAGCTCTCCAGATGTTTGTTTTTGGATCACTGTCCTTTTGGAAGATCCAAACATGGCCCATTATAAGATTTCCAGCACAGGCTGTCAGGTTTTGATTTTTTATCTATTGGTATTTGATCGAATCCATGATGCCATGTATCTGAACAACATGTCCAGGACCTCTGGCAGAAATTTAGGCCCAGAGCATTAAAGATACACCAGAATATTTCATTTTACAAAAAAAATTTTTTGGGGGGGGGTACTTTTTCATCCTTGTGTGCACCAAACCCATATTAAGTGTTTGCTGCCAAAAAAGCTTTTTGTTTCATCTGAACATAGAACCCATCCAGTCTGAAGTTCCAGTAGTGTCAGTTCATTTTCAAACGTTCTGTGGACAGATAAAACAACAACAAAAAAGCTTTTTGGCATCTGGGAATCTGAAGGATCTGGAGATATTCTGTATAGTTGTTATCTTAGAAAAAGGAGGTTGCAAAAAGTATTTAATAAAAGGGTGCAAATAATTGTTCACAATGTGTTTTGGAGAAAAACATTTATTTCAAAATGTGATTCCCCCAACTTTCAAATCTTTTACTTCAATAAATTGTTAGATTTTAGATTTTTTTTTTTACAGCCATCTTTGATCATATTTTTACCAAAGGGGCAAATAATTCTGACCAGCACTGTATAAAAATCTCTCTCTCTCTCTCTCTCTCTCTCTCTCTCTCTCTCTCTCTCTCTCTCTCTCTCTCTCTCTCTCTCTCTCTCTCTCTCTCTCTCTCTCTCTCTCTCTCTCTCTCTCTCTCTCTCTCTCTCTCTCTCTCTCTCTCTCTCTCTCTCTCTCTCTCTCTCTCTCTCTCTCTCTCTCTCTCTCTCTCTCTCTCTCTCTCTCTCTCTCTCTCTCTCGTTAGCTGTACCTTTAGGGAAAGAAATATTCCTTAAAATTCCATTTATACATCACTAGAGGGCGTCAGAGGGACAGTGGTCTCGTGAAAGATTGTTCATTCTGAAAACAAAAATGACAATCAGTAGCCTACAATCAGTAGTAAAAAAACATTTAAAAATATTCTAAGATAAAAAATCTATCGCGTGTTGAAAGCGCCACAGATTTGCAGTCTGAGAAGTGTATGCGCAGATAAGTGGAGCCTTTGATCAGGATGAAGGCTTCATCTCGCAGGTTCCTATGGTTCCTATGGCAACTGATCAAACGTTTATTGACTTGAGCTGTGCGCGCGTTCTGTGCTTGTGAACAGCAAAGCGCGCGGATCAGCGTGAATGCGCACTGAGCTGCGCGCCTGGTCTGGAGGAGGAAGTCTTCATAACACTGTGGATTCCGTGGATTCACGCTTTGATGTACCATCAACATCTAACGAACGTTTTCGCTGGAAGGTTCCAGAAAGATTTTTGAGAGAGGCAGGTGTTTTTGTAAGTGGGTATTTTCCTTTCTTGTAATTCAATTAGAAATTCTATTGCAGGATACCGTTTAGTCCATATTTAGAAAACTATGTGCTTGTTTTGTTTGTTTGTTTACTGAATATTAGTAACCATTCAGATATTTTTTATGTAGAACATTTTAATATTAAGTATCTCATGCATGGTGTAATTTTTTTTATACAAGATTGCACTGTTATTCCATTTAGTTATGAGAAGCATAATAAAATATATTATTTATATAATTAAAATATACCCTATTAAAAATATATAAATAATATAATATAAAATATAGTAAAATTGGAAAAAAATATATTATTTTAATTTTAGGGTTTCTGTTTCAATTTAAAACTTTTTGCTCGAAAGATGGTCTGGAACAAATCAGTGTCCAAATGTACAATCAAATGATTTTTTATCTAGCAAGTTTATTTAAGAAGAGTTATCTAACACTGTTACTTTAGTTTTTATAAGTGTAGACAAGATCTAGCTTTGCAAAAAAAAAAAAAAAAAAAAATTGGAGAGAAGAAATAAACACTACCTAGTCATTCAACACTTTATCTTACATAGAATGTGTTGTATTCTATGAGACTGTAATGCACGTTTAGGTAACATTTGCTCTTGCTCATACTTGTGTGGTCTCTCCTAGAAGCAGTCACAGGAAGCTGACCATCACCATCTCCCCATGATGCATATGAACAGCTTATTGAACCGATGGAGTAAGTATTAATAGTTTTACGTGTTCTCTTTTTTGTAAGAAAGGACCATGCAGAACATATTTTGGCTAACTTTATGTGCAGGCTATATGTCGATGTCTCCGATATTTTGTTTGGACTGAGATGTATATGAACCTTCTAATAGCCTGGGTTAAAATTAGTTGCAAGTTAGGTCAGAAGATTGCATTGTATTGCAGCGAAAAATGACGGGTTGGTTTACCCGTCTGCCCAGCTGTTACCAAATCACGTCTGAAATTTACTGCAGTTGGCAAATATTCAATTATAAATGCTGATGAATACAAATATACTGTCACATGCTGATAGATGATGTGTTTTATGTCACTGGCTGGCTGTTCAAATCATGTGCGTGTGACTTTAAAAATGATTGACTAAAAATATTCTTTCTCTCTAATGTATTGCTTATATATCTATCAAGAGGATTTATATTATATTGTGTGACATCTGTAACATTGTGTAGGTGTGAAGGTTTGTTGAGAGGTTAGAGAGTACGAATGGAAATGTACTGTAGGTGATAAATCAGATATTTATTTCTATGTAACAGAGACCGCAGGGTGTCTACCAGCACTGTCAGTTTAGCACAAACTGAAACATTGCAGGATCAAAACAAAACCTTTTATGAGGTTTACACTCAAATCAGTTGAAAAAATGACTGGTTTTGATTAGCTCTGCTATCAGTTTCTTTTACACGAAGCAAAACAATAAATGATTTCCCCATAGACTTCTATTGTAAGGGCTGTCAGTGCATTTTTTTGTTTCTTGTTTACAAAATGAGAGACAAATCGAAATTAGTTTCTGTGCTCTCAAGCTGCTGAACAGGCACTGAATGTCCCTATACTTTTAAACAAAATTCAAGTCAAGATGTCTATTTATACTCTGGGTCGAGCTACCAAACAGTCCCCTGATATTACATTTTTTATGCTTTTTGAAAGAAGTCTCTTATGCTCACTAAGTATGCATTTATTTAAACTACACAAAAAAAAAAACAAAAAAAAACAGTAATACAGTAATTGTGAATATTGTTAAATTTTTAAAAGAACTGTTTAAAGTCCATTCTTCAGGGTCACAAGATGTCTATTTATTTATACAGGCAGTCAGTTTGTTTAAATTTCATATTGTTGCTTATGGGTTTTGCCAAACTATAGAAACATCTCATACCTGAGGTCAATTTCCTTTTTGACATTTCTGTGATGTCACCCAAGAGGGGAATAAAGCCAGTCATGAATGATTTGGACAGCACGTCCATCAGTTAGTTCAACATGAAAGTTGTTGGAATCACTGTTGACTTTTGCATTTGTAGTGGAAGGTCTCAATAGAAGGTTAAGGTCATCTATGCAGTGTAGGCTAAACAAAGAGAACAAGATTCATTATGACTGAGTGAGCCTGCTAAATGATCTCAGGCTGCAGCTGTAATCTCTCTTTTTCTTGATGTAATTAGAATAAATATCCTTTGTGGAAAATCAGATGACCTTTTCCCTCACGTTTTGTAAATTACTGGTTGGAGCCGGTAAGTGTTAAAGAGTTGATTGGAGCTGGTAGATCCATCCGTACATGTGCAAATGGAGATCAACCCTTGTACAACGGAAGAGTCTCGTTTTCATATGTGTGGGTGACTTTGCTGGACAGCCTAAGCTTTTCTAGTCGTATCAGTTATTTAAGCCACACTGTGATTTGGCCTTTCTGAATTTGGTTTATGTAGTTCTCTATGGTCTTTCTTCAAGGCTTTATTTGATGTGTCTGTCCTCTTGATAGTCTGGTAAGGTGCTTCAGAATCTTCACAAAGTGTGGAATTTCACAGAATGGTGTCTTGGTATGAACCGCACCCTCTGTGTGTGTGTGTGTGTGTGTGTGGTTCAGGTAAACCCTACGTTATGGGGACGAAATGTCAAAGATCGCAATATCCAAAATCCGTGTCCTAGTGGGGATATTTTTAGGTCCCCAACAGGAAAACAGCTTATTAATCATGGTAAGAGAATAAAATGTTCGACCTGAAGGTCTTCCTCAGGCAAACAACAAGTACACAGCAACTCAGAAAGATACAATTTATATAAACGTGATCCATCACAACTGATCTTCGACTCATTAACCCAATCATCTAATAAATTTTTTTTTTAAACACAAATACCAGAAAAATCCAAAATAGTCATAAGTTAAACAGAAAAAAACCCCCACACAATTTAAAACGACTCTTTATAATTTTAAGATATTTTAAAATGTAATTTATTCCTCTGATGGTAAAGCTGAATTTTAAGCTGCCATTACTCCAGTCTTCAGTGTCACATGATCCAATGTTTTTTCTGGATTCTTTGATGATTATGAAGTTCAAAGAACTGCATTTATTTGAAATAGATTTTTATTTGTCCAAATGTAAAAGTTTTTACTGTCACTTTGAATCAATTTAATGCATCCTGAAGTATTTTTTATTTCTTTTAAACAAATCTTACTGACCCCAAAGGTTATAGTGTACATGGCCTTATATCACTGTGAGTACACCAATTTTGTACTGTCCTTTCTGTTGTGCTATTTTTTTAACATTTCCAAGCCACTCCAAAAAGACCTTTTTCGGTATTTGGTTTGGCTCGGCCAGTCATGGTGAAGTAATAAGGGAAAAGTGGGATTGAAACAATTTATCCTAAATACCAAAAGAAGAAGTAACTAACTATGAATACAGTTTATATATAACTTTTGCTATTCCTCACTGTTAGACTGCACAACAGCTCTGCATAATGTTAGGAAAGAATTTTTTTTTCAACAATGTTCCTGATCACGTCCAAGTCCAACTTTAACAGTTGCGTCACATTTCAGTGTGGATTGTTGTGTAAACCTGTCAGAATGTAATGCAGGCCTTGCAAGGGAGTTTGTTTTGGAAATGCATGAAGCAGTGCCAACTATATAATTCATTTGAATAATCATTTCACATGCAAAGCGCTAATTTACATATAGACGTCCATAAAGGCACAGCAGCAGAAAAGAAAGCATGTTAAATTCTAATAATCAGAGAGGCTAGAAAATGGTCATGGAAAACTAAATTACCACTGTTTTTAGTGCAATGAACTTTATTAGCATGCGAATGTATGACTGGACCCCTTTAAACAGTCTAGAAAAATAAAAAAGCATGTCATTTTTGTTATGGAACAAACTTAATCAAACCGGATTATTTCTATTCATATACATATAACTACTTTGCAGTTTGGTTTGATGTCCATTAGCTGTACTGATATTTGACCTGCATTCATAGGAGTGTCTCTGTCCAGAATGCATTTGAATACTCATCACACTCGTCCTGTATGTGTAAATTATGCATGTGTCGTCTGCATTACCTATGATGACTGAGACCTGCTTAACCCACGCGTGACTTCAGGGTTATTATCGGCCAAATTAAAGCACTTAGAGTAGAGATGGTTACCGATCTGAAATGACACAGATTTTCACAGCTTGTGTTTTCAGTAACCAGCTGTGAGACGACATTGCGCTGAATATTCTAACATAATAAGAAGCTTTGGGATGAATCTAGCCAAAGTGTAATCTTCATCGCCTCTTTCGTTTTTTTTCTCACTCTTTCTGTCTCATTCACACACTCTCGAGCTCACGTCATAGAAAGCAGAGGGGATCTGACCCAGGGAGCTTCAGTTGCCACACAGACATAAGGAAACTTAATAGATCTCTAAAGGAGAGCGTCCAAAGAGACACACACAAGAGTTCTCACCTTACACTGAATTATTTATTATGTAAATTACCTGTTTTAACCCTTCAGTTGGTTTAAATGCAAAAGCCCAAGGTTTTTTTTTCTTTTTCTTTTCTTAATCTGTGGACTTTGAAGAGTTTTGATAATCACAGTGAATGCTACCTGAATGCCTTATAGGTTGTGAGCCCACCAAAGTGTTTCCATATGGTAGCATATTTTTTCAATTGTTTTCAAAGGGAGCGACGTGTATTTAAAACGCCAGCAGCATGAGGTACCGAGCATCTATTTCATGCTGAGTGCTGTGCTTTTGTTGTTGTTGCTGTGTGTTGCCGAGAGTAAAAATTTGAAAATGTTTTGGTGGACACCAAATGCAAAAAGCATGATTCTGATTTCGCAGGTAGTTTGTTTCTGAATATAAGGCCATGTTTCACAGGATTAGGCCTTAGTTCAATTCAATTAGGACATTTAAGTGGCTTTTATAAACATGCCTTGGTGTGCATTTTGAGACAAAAGAATGGCACTGACATATTAAGATCTATCAGTGCAAGTTGCTTTCAGTTAAAACAGCTCAAACATGCATTTTAGTCTGTGAAACTGGGGGTCAACACAATGTAAAGTACTTGCTCTGGGCATCGTTTCGGATGAGAAGATGGCTGAACCACGTAGAAAGTTGTGTATACCCAGGATGTGATGGTTGGTCGATGTGGTATCAGTCCCGCCTCTCCTCCACTGTGATTGGGCGGCTGAGTAAAAAGTGACAGTGATGAGCAATGAGCATTGTGTTTCACTCAAAGTTGAACATTTTTCAACTTTCAGCAACAAGAAAAAAACCCGCCAATGTTGCAGGCATTTTGAATACGCTGCGCTCCCATTGGAAACGTTTTTTAAAAATATGCTGTCCTCAAGAAAAAACACTTTGTTGAATAGACACACAGAGTCTACAGTCTCTTTGCTGTAGACTAAATCACTGTAAACCACTTTTTTCCCAATCCCCCCAAAAATGGCTTTGCCTCAGAATTGGACCCTTTTTCTTTCTTTCTTTCTTTCTTTCTTTCTTTCTTTCTTGAAAAAAAGTGGATAAAGAGGTGTTGTTCACCATTTCAGCAGGAGCTGTGTTTTTAATTTCTTCCTCTCTTTCCAAGCTACAGATCAAGCAAGCGCTTTGCGTCACACCACATCTGAATCCATTCTACACTTGTTTGTTCTTTCCATGTCTCATTTACATTAACATACCCACACACACTGAAAAAGACTCCCTGGGTTGCTAAACCCCCTCAAAGACCACGTCACTCGATCCTAGGTTCACCATTGTGTGCATGTGAGAGAGGCAAGGTACATCTGGCAAAGCAGGTTTCAAGTATCACGCATAACGACAATGACATTCGAGGATGGCATTAAGAGTCAGTGCATCCATGTGCGTGCATGTGCATGGGTTTGTGCGTGATTGTACAAGATACCAAATATCAGCCAGTTATGCAGCAATCACTCTCTTATCATACAGGATTTGTGAGTTTCTTATCTTATCTCTTGTTATGTCAGCTTTGATGGTTAGATGACCTGTCTATCTTTGAGCGCTTTACTTTATATAATTCTGGTAATGATCCATTTAGATGATAACAGAAATACCAAGATTTAGACCCCGATGGATCTTATTACATCTTACATGCAATCATAAAGTACTCAGGGAAGTTTTTGGAAAAATGCTTTTGTTTGTTCACCCATGCAACCACACACAAATGCAATGCGGAAGTATTAAATATCAACCAAGCGTGAAAAAGAAACGTTTCAATCAACACCTTTTGTTAGCAAATGTGCTCTCAACATACACCATATTTTTTCCACATATCATCCTTACATACAGTATTGTGCTGGTACTGTAATACAGGTGTATCAGATGGAAATACCATGGTATTTTCATTTTGTGAAACAGTATAAGAAAGTTGTAGCTTATTCTTTATTGTTACTATTTTGCAAATTTAAAAAAATAGTAAAGTCATCTAAGCTATAAAATAACACAAATGTAATTATGGGAAATATATAGTGACCAAGTATATCTGGGAACTATATATATTAATTAGCCTAAAATTAACACTCGCCAAGCGCCAAATGCGAGTAAAACTTGGCATGGCGAGAATATGAAACTTTGTCACTCGCCAGTTGGCCAGTAACATTTTTATGAATTCTAACAAGGCCACATCAAAATCACAGACAAATTCACACAAAATTAAACCGTATATATATATATATATATATATATATATATAAAAAAGCGACTTTCTTAGTAAACATTGTCGGTTATGTCTTAAGTATCGTAAACCGTTGAGAAAGTAAACGCATGTGTACAAGAGCATTCGCTCTTAAAGTGACAGCAGCCTAATATTCCTGCTGCTGTCTGTGTTTTTAATGTTAATCAAACAACAAAGGACAAAGAAAAAAATCACTCACTGCTCTTGACTGAATAACTTTTGTAACTTTATAAGGGTTAATTAATAAGGATGTTTAATATAGTGAAGACAATGCAGTGTTATTTTACATTTGCTTAATTAAATTTCTGTACCTGAGAATTGTGAATTTTCACTGGTATCTAAAATTTTGGTGTCAATACTGCCTGTTTTTGCAAAAAAAAAAATGCATGGCCTGTAAAAAAGATTTATGGCCGTAAAAAAAAGTCACCGGCACTGGCAGGTGTGGTAAAAAGTGTTAAATAAATCAAAACTATCTAATATTTGAGCATCTTCTTCTTTGTTTAATATTTAAATTTTTAAATATTACATATAAGAGATTAGATAAAATAATTTATTTTTGTAAATACATACATATATTGCACTAGTATTGAATGATTACCATATTCATATACCATGGTATTTCCATGTTACTCAAAAAGAACTTTTGTATTTTCATTGTGCATGTCCAAAATAAACAATGACAAAGTAATTCTGATGCTTTGTGGCTAGTACATTGTAATTTGTAAAACTCAAACAACGACAAGCACAAAAACAAGGTCAAAACAATTTGAATAGGCAGCTGCAATAAAAAAAAACATGTTGAAATTATGTATCTTGTAGACAAACTTCAGAGCAACACTGCAAATCCCTTAGACTCTCTAATGACTATAGCCTTTTTTCATATGTGTGGCCAGCTAGTTATATAATCTCTGTTTATGCTGAGCTAACACTGATATTATATGAACCCTACTTTACAGATCTTTCCAGTGCACCAGCAATGCGTCATTGCCTTTGGGATTATTGCAACCGATACAGAGCTTTGAATATCTAAGCCAACACATATCTAATACTGTGCGAGGGAGTGTGTTGGTGTCAGTAGCCTGGGGTCCATTGGCTGGTGTGTCGGTGGCAGCTGATGGATGGAGGTTGTGGCAGGATCATCACTGAGAAACCCTGCAGGATGTTACGTGTGGAAGCCAGTAAACATGTTATTGGGCAGTTAGGACACCCGGTGCTCTGGGCACCAAAAATGACGTGCTTTCAGTCTAGCAATGATGTAATCTCCAGCTGACACGCTAATAAGCAACTCAATAAGATGTCTAGATTATCCACACTATGCTCACATGTACACGTAGACTTTGTATTTGCAAGCCGTGGTCTTTATAGATCTCATGGTCAGCCACAAATTTGTGCTACTGTAGCACATAAAGACATAAATAAATATAAACTTTGGCTGGCCCCTTTTTATTTAGACCAGAGTCTACATTTTGACATCATGTTGTGAGTTCATCCAGTGAGGTCATTAAGAATCTCTTAGAGGATGGTTATGTCATCTTCTTTGCCTAAATAAAGCCAAACCATCTTTAAAGTCACAGGCTGCACCCAAAATCGCATTCTTTCCTACTATATAGTTGGCGAAAAACAGTATGTGACAAAATAAGTATATCCGAATTTACAGAACTCATAAAAGGGTTGGCAAAAAGTACCCGGATGACTTGCTACTTCCGGCGAGATTCTGAAGTGTGCATACGATGGACACTTTACTATCCCATGAGGCCACGTTAGAGGATTTATGAATGGCATTGAAGCGACGTAACTGACACTGATAGGTCACATGATACTAAATGTAGTATGTCCGGATTCCATTCATACTACACACATTCATACTACATAGAACACCAAAAACTGCCTACTGAAATAGAAAGACGAGTGACCAACCAGAGGTTCTTTTCGAGTTGGGTAAATTTGAAATAGGATATAACTCTGACAACAAAGTAAATTCTGCAGGTGTGCTCAAGGGTATCTCCTTTACTTGTTTCTCAAACAAAACTCTTTCTTGAGTATGTTTCAGAGATTTGATGTCATCGCAAACTCATTGAACTGTATCATCCTGTTACCTTGTACAACTTGCATGCAGTAAATTATGACTATAGTAGAGGTGAACAATATAAACAAAACTTCATATTATGATATTCTTACAATTTTGGTTGATATCAGTATATTATGGCACCAGATCACGATATACACATTTCTATGGAAATGTTTTTAAAAAGTACTGAAATTATTGAAATGAAAATCATTTGCAAAGTAATTGTAGACCTATATCAAAAGCTGGAGAATGACATCACTGTTTTCTCCAGAGCGACTCGTGAACTTTTTTACAACAAAAATTAACCATCACTAAACTTACTTAAGCTGGACTATGCTGTACACCCGAAACAAACTTTGTTGCATTATTTTCCTGTTATCACAGTAAGGGTGCTTTGAAACAATCTGGATTGTAAAAAGCACTATATAAATAAAGGTGACTTGACTTGATTGTTCACCCTCAAATGAAAAATCATTTATACCCTCAAGTTGTTCCAAACATGAAGTTCTTTCTTCTGCTGAACACAAAAGAAGATATTTTGAAAAATGTCGGTAACCAAACAGTTGACAATTGACTTCCATAGTATTTTTTACTAGCTTTAGAACTGTTTGCTTTCTCATATTCTTCAAAATATATTATTTTGTGTCCAGAAGAAGTAAAGAATTCATACAGGTTTGGAACAACTTGAGGGTATAAATGATGACAGAATTTTCACTTTTGCCTGAAATATCCCTTTAAGTGTGAAGTATGATTGAGATTTTTGTAAAGGCTTTGCAACTATGCACATATCTTGTATATTTTGTATAGAACAGAATTATTATTTGAGGTTACAGCTGAAGAAAAGAAATGTATCCTGAAATATAATTGAGTTGCGATTAAACAGGTACAAAAAAATACCAAACCAAAGTACCAAAGGATAAAGTAAAAATTTTCATTGTCTGTTCTGTCATTTTTCATCTCGTTTTTTTTTTTTTCATGTATCTGTGGATAATCCTTCGTATAGATGCAGTGTTGGGCATTAGGATTGATCTCAAACAATGTTGGCTTTACTACAAAACTGGTCTTACGTCATATGATTAAGGTGCTATTTATGATGAATTGTTGGTGTATTACAAAAAAATCATCAGCTACAAATAAATCGTGGTTGCTTTGATTGCTCTACATCCACTTCTGCAGTTTAAAACTAAGCTTTATCTCTGTTGCTTCTGCTTTTTTGTGTTGCAGATGAGATCTCTAAGATGTGTGAGGTAGATGAGACTCCGGAACCGGTCAGTCCCACGCTGCTCAGCGAGTCCACAGACACTTACTGCCAGACCGACTACTGGCACCCACTCCGAACCACCGTCCGCAAGCTGGAATTCTGGGAGGACTTCAGCGCAGAGCTTATCGGAACCGGCTTCTTCTCTAAGGTCTACAGGGTAAGGGTTTCCTGTCAATAATGGAGGATCAAAAACAAATGACTGTTTGGAAATGGAAAGTTTGCAAAAAATGTACTAAAATTGCTAGAATGTCCTAAAGGCAGCATGTAAAAATGGATATCGAACAGCACAAAATCTGATTAGATAATCTGCCCTTTAGCGAAAGTGCACTGATTTAATCAAAGCTGTGAAAATGAGGCACAACGAGATCTCAGGCATTCAAGATAAATGTTTCGTTCCACCACTTGCTGCCTTTCAAGAGCAAAGGTTTTGTTCCATACCGAATTCTGCTGCCAAATTATCTACTATTCATTTTGTCTGGAAGTCACGGCCCTATTAGTCCGTACAACAGAACTGTACAGACATGACGTGTCTGTAGTCTCCCAAAAACAAGCTACATCCTGCAGACGGTTTTTAACCCAACAAAGAAATAGAGGTTAACGTCATATACTGTCACCACCCAGCTTAAATGGTCTTGAAAGCCTTCACAAACAAGAAAATAACTAGGTGATTTAAAAACAACAACAACTGAGGAATTACATTTTGTTAACCACATTTTTTTTTTTTTTTTTACAGTATATGCTAACTTTTATTTTCTTGCTTTGCAAAATATTCTCACTTCTGCGTTACTTTTACCTCATGGAAGAAAATAAAGGGCATTTTGTTACAAGTAGACCTCACAAAAATGCCAAAAGGGGATTTCCTATGTGCGAAACCCTTTGTGCTTGATATCTTGAGTGAAAGAAAGACTTTGGTGAGGACTAAGCTCTACAAATAGCACAGTGATAGATACCGTGTTTAATATCAGTGCACACAGAGCATGAAAAACTGTGACCATTCTCACACCACGGGCCAAGAAATAATGAATTTATATTCTATGTAAAGAACATTGTGTAGTAAAGGAAACGTGCGCTGTAAAGGAAAAGGATTACCCCAGGGGAAAATAAGAGGGATGCTTCTTTTTGTTGTGAATGTGTTTACAGAATATCAGTGGAAGAAACTCACAGTCTAGTGAATATGCTGTTGTCCTCTTCCGCTCAGGTGATGCACAGCACTACAAAAAAAGTAATGGTGGTGAAGATCTATAAGAACGACGTGGATCAGAACAGCATTGTAAGGGAGATCAGTCTACTTCAGAAACTCTCCCACCCGAACATAGTGAGGTGAGCCGCCCCTGCGCACACGATTAATCACCTCCATCAATCCCACGCCGGCCTGATGCTCATAACACCCACTCAGAACATGGGAAGAAAACAACTCTGACTCTAAATAACAAAACTGGGTTCAAATTTCCTGACTTTTAACAAAAGTAACCAGTGATTGGCTACAATTTAGATGAAATTCTGATATTAAAAGCATCAGCCTTTGAGACTGTAATGCATACAACACAGCCCTCGTTTTAGTTACTGAGCTTTAGTAATGTTTGCTAAAACAAGCATCATTATTAGGACTGCTTGTAAGGATGCATTATATATCTACACCATATCAGTATTTGGCAAGTATTAGAGATATTTTTTAATTCATTGGTGCCAGTCATTATTCGATATTTAAAGGGATAGTTCATTCAAAAATGAAAATTCTGTCATCACTTACTCACCATCATGTTGTTCCAAACCTGTGTGAATTTCTTTCTTCTGCTGAACAATGAAGAAGATATTTTGAAGAATGTCGGTAACCAAACAGTTGATGGACCCCATTGACTTCCATAGTATGGAGTTAAAAACAAACTATGGAAGTCAATGGGGCCCATAAAGTGTTTGGTTACCGACATTCTTCAAAATATCTTCATAAATTGAAAGAAATGTATACAGGGTTTAACAACTATGACAGAATTTTCATTTTAGGGTGAACTATCCCTTTAAATGTGCATGTTAAATTCTAATATTTTAATTCAATATATTAACTTCAAATCTTAGTTAGTCTTCAAATCTTAATAATACTGTTAAATATAATATTTAGCAAATTTCCATATGAATATCCATTTTTCATACTGTACAATGCTGTGATGCATAAATTCTTTCGTAGAATGTGAAACGATTGACTTGCTATTTTTGTTTTATTTTTAATTTATTTCAGCAAAATACTATTATCAGACATTTATTAGTTATCATTCATAAAATGAAAATAATGACTGATTTGAATATTTCTATTTGCTCATACTTGAGTAAACATTTAACCATTTGTATTCAGGCCATAGTATTATAGAGGCTTGGGGTGGTCTCATCCACAACCTAGCAACCACCCAGAACACCCTAGCAACCCAATGGCAACTAAAAACTACTATAGTATCTGGTAAACACCCTAGCATTAAGGCAGGGAGCTTTCGATAGGCACTCACATTTGGTTGAAAATGTAAAAATCTAGCTTATTTTGCACTTGTAAAATGCTTGAAATTAAGTTTTATTTCACTTACGAGCTTTAGAAATTATCTCAAGTCAATTTAAAAGGGTTTACACAGATGTATAAAGATTTGTCATAGCTAATAAATGTTCTAAAACTTTGTATAATTCCTTATTTCTCAGATGGATACAGTAAATTACTCTAATTTTCTTGTTGTAGGTACCTGGGGATCTGTGTCAAGGAGAACAAGCTGTACCCAATTCTCGAGGTGGGTGGCACCTTTTAGGATTTAGTTTTCACAATTCAGTGTATCCAGTATAAGCTTTCTCAATGGGCTGCCCGTCAAATCTTATGACACAACCAGTGACTCACCATCGTGTTCTTCTAATGTGTCAAAAGTATATAAGTTTCTACAAAGCGAAAGTTTTCCTTATTTAACATGCTGTAAAAGGGAGTTGCGTTTTCACTGTATAAATCAGGTCAGGATTGGAAGCGTTTTATAATCTCACGTGCTTCCCTCCTCCTCCTCCTCCTCCTCCTCCTCCTCCTAGTATGTTAGCGGAGGCTGTCTGGAGGAGCTGCTGGCCAGAGATGATGTCAGCCTCTGCTGGAGGGAGAAGATCGAACTGGGCTGTGATATCAGTCGAGGAATGACCTATCTCCACTACAAGAACATCTACCACAGAGACCTCAACTCTAAGGTGTGTTGGCAGCCTTTAGGGATCAAAGTTTAGCCGTTTATGGCAAAGACATATTATGAAACATCACCTTGCAGCGTTCAACCTTGATTTGAAGGCGTGTTCCAAGAACACGCCTTGCAATTATAGATAATGACAGACATTTCTAATGTCACTCCTATGAAACATGCGCTAATGTTTTTTCACTCTAATGTTCTATTAACTTGCCTGACTTGACCTGAGTAATGTTTTGGACAAAATGATTCAGCGAGACCACGTATTCCAGTGTTTAACTGGTAGTTAGTACACTTTTCTTGTGTCCATTACCTCCTTTCCCATATAACATAGCTGGCTGTTGCAAAGACTTTTTTATTGCTTTGGTACTTTTTTATTGCTTTAATTTATGATATTAGTTATGAGAGAACCATAATATTATCTCACATAATCCCATTCAAAGTCAAAGTGAAGATTGGCATACTTGCACAGTGACCCAAAAGTTGTCTGGATGCTTTAGTCACACTTAAAATCTTTTAAAATAAAATGATTGTAAATAAAAACGAATTGCACTGCATTAAAAGTAAACAATATTTCAAAGTGACATCTACTAACCATTGCTAGACGTTTTCTCTGAACTCACTCTTTTTTGTTATTTTTACAATTACCTTTTAACCAACTAAAGTTAAGTTAGTTCTAGCAAAAGGTCTAGCATTATTTGCTTGCTGATGCCGCTTGTTGATATTATGTTATCTAAATTTTGCCATGAATTTAATGCATTTTAAGTGTGGTATATTTGCAAAAATATATTTTTAACTCCTATTCACTTTTGGATACTTTAAATTCACATTTGGAACTATAAAAATATTGAATGGCATTTTGTAACAAATAGTTTTTCAATGTGTGAAACTGTGAGATTGATTAATATATTGAGTGAAAGGCTTTGGTTAGGTGTAAAGTCATATCTGAGATTTACTACGGTTATGGTTTTCATTTCTCCATCATGAACACAATAGCAGAGTGATGGAATGTAGATAGCAAAACACATGTGACCATTCTCACACCATGGGCCAAGGTATTTCAACATTTTTTTGTAAAGAACATAGTGTCCTAAAAAAGACGTGTGCTGTAAAGTAACACGATTAGCCCAGCCGAATATGTTTACAGAATACCATGTACAGGTGCCGTGGAGAAAACAAACATCAGGAAACCCTGAAACTCCTACTGTAAATACACTGCCGTTCAAAAGTTTTACATTTTTTTTATTTGATTAAAATATTAAAAACAGTAACAAACAAAGATTGTTAAATATTATTATAATTTCAAATAAAATATCTCTTTTTAATATATTTTAAAATGTTATTTATTCCTGTGATGGCAGCTGAATGTCACATGATCCTTCAGAACATTACACATTACCCAACATTACAATGAAAAAGAACATAAACAACTTAAAGAGCACTGACCTGTACCACCTGACTGCTGCAGTTAATTTCGGCGTTGATAGTGTTGGCATTGAAATACATAAATTCGGGTCGCGAATCGCTCCAAGTATAATGTCATGGGTTTCCATCTCTTTCAAATTACAGTAGTTATGGCATGAACGCAGCATAAGCTCGTTGTTTTGGTTCAGCAGGAACTATAAAAGCTGCTGTTTCGGTTGCGGTGCTCAGTGACTGACGTCTGTCTAACTCTGCATAGCATGAAACGCACTGATGAAGTGTGATGTCTGCGCGAAGGTATGGAGATCCATATGTTGACTGGCAGGAAGGACATCGTAGGTAGGACATCGGACCGAATGCAATGATTGGACGAAAATATTATGGTCCTACACCTTTCACAGATGATATATATACATATAAATACATTTAAGCCACTTAACTTAGGCTATGTTCACACTGTCAGTCCAAATACGATTATTTGTGTATCCTATTGGAATCTGATCTAAAATGATTGATGTCCACACTGTGTGGTCTTTATTTTTCTGGAATATCTGCATTGGTTTGATTTCTATGGCAATGGTGTTGTGATAGTAGGCATAAGCCAAAAACAACAACCGCAACATGGAAGGGTTTGCAATATAGATGTTGTCTTATTATTTACCACATGACAACGTGTATCTGGCACGCTGGACTACTGCGTCTTCTGAGGGAGCGGCAGAACCGTAGGAGGCTGGTATGAGTGGCTTTATTCTATGCTGTCGTCTCCACCTGTTTCTAAACATGTCTCCGTTACATTGTCTTCTGCTCGTCCAGCACTTTGCAACAACACAACCTTGTTTCTTTCTGCTGCAACTTTCAGCATGTTTCCAATAACAGCATCTGACGTTTACGTTTTACGTAGTGTGGGAGAGTCACATAAACCACACAAAATCCGATCAGAGCGGTCAGACTTAAACGGATTTCCAGAAATGCGATTTGGATAGAATTTCAAACCACGTATGAATGTAGCTCAAAATGGATTTGAAAAAACTGCATTTAAAGGTGAACTAAGTAACTTTTTTACCTTAACCGAACAGCTTTGGAGTCATTGTAATGTTTATATTACTGATTTTGTGTTGAATGGTGGTCGTCTCGCACCCCCCTGGTGCCTGTGAGCCGCAAAACCACCCTTGCAACTTTGGGCCGGCGGGACGCAAAAAACAGATCTGATAAATTTCTGATAAAATGAGCATCAAACAGAAATAACCCGGCGCCGTATACATGTGGTGTTGGAGGCGCACATACAATACAGACTGTCGACAGTTAAACAGGGCGCACGCAGCTCTTAAAGGGGCCATACCTTATTTCCACTCGTTACAGCGTCTATCCTACTGAACAGGTACCGGTGTACAGGGGGAGGGGATCCGGCCGTGAGTGCGAGCCATCTCTGCGTGAGTGCTATTCACGACAGTACAAGTACTCCACAGCGACTCTAGGGGTCACTGTTTGACAAAAACGGAATTCCTACTTAGTGCTGCTTTAATGTAATTTTTTCCAGTTCACACTTGCTAATTCTGATCTGATTTCAAGTTCACACTTGCTAATTCTGATCTGATTTCAATCGTAGATGCACAAAATTCGAAAATTTGGATTTGGACTGACAGTCTCAGGATGTGAAGAAACTTTCATCCAGCATAACTAAAAAACTAAAAAAAAAGGAAAAAATCACCTACCCTGCCTTTAATGCATTCTTGCCGAATAAAAGTATTAATTTCTAAGACCCCATGTATTTAAATTGTAGTGTAAATGATGGGTCACTAATATTGTTAGTGAAGTAGACAAAAATACAAAAGTGTTTCTTTTTGGGAAGGGATCCTGCACCCCTATAAAGTTCTGAGCTGTGAAAAGCAGTCATGGTCTTGACAGATTTAACTGTGTCAGTTGCCAGGCTGCAGTGAGCAGTGAGCACAGGACTGTGTTTGAACAGAAATGAGGAGGTCAGACCTTTATTATGCTAATGCTGTACCCAACATTCACCATTTCATAAACACCAGACCTGCGACTGCTTTTCACCTCTTTATTCTTTTCCTTTCTTCTCGCTCTCTCTATATAAAATGACATGCTGACTCCCGTCCACTTTCAAGCTTTTATCCTCTCACCCTGCTCACACGCACACGATTTTACTAAAAACAGACATAGCCTTAGCCTTGTTATCTTTAAACAGTTTAATATTGGATTTGAAAAAAATTGATTTCACATACTAGAATGTGAGTGGTGCGTGGGGTTGCTAGGGTGTTGCTATGTGCGTAATAACGGGTTTTGAATGGTTTATCGCATTTCTTCTGTATGTGGTTGCTAAGGTGTTCGGAATGGTAGCTTGGGTCCCAGCAAACAAAAATGTTCTATGTACTTTTTGTTAACATTACCATTAAGTTATGAAAACGTTATTTCTGGATGTTCTCTAAATGTTTAAAACATCCTATTTTTATTAAAGGTGGGGTAAGCAATATTAAAAAAAAAACGCTGTTTGTAAGTTGGTCGAACCAACACAACCAGACACAACAACAAACGTGTAGCAAATCGGCATTAGGGGGCCTATGACAGTGGAGGAGAGAGAATGAGCAAGAGGGAGATTTGAAGAAAGACTGTAGAAAGAGAGATGGGTGAGAGACATTACAAAAGAGAAAAGCTCATAAGAATATCACTGATAAATGAAGGGTTATGAGAACATTTTAGAAAAGCTTTCCAGCGCTGGACAGAGCTAAGCGGGATGGCCTGAACACAGATTTTTGTGCTAACATTTTGATAATGTTATTGAAGACTACTTTGAACGAACAATCTATTAACGTTACTAATGTTTATTCATAACTTTGAGAGAGAACCTTGCTAGAATGTTGAGAATGTTCCCTGTTAGATGGGGCATAGCTAGGGGGTTGTTTACTGGCCCGAGGGATTTTTATTTTTATTTTTATCATCTGCCAGGCAAAAAAACATAAATCTGATTAGTTACAGAAGTAATAGCACACCTGAACAAGCCACATGATTTGTGATATTTAAATCCATAGCGCAAAAATGACTACTATAGTTTACTACAGATTCAGAGTGTAACCCTATCCATAATTTTACATTATTTAGTTTGCTTTTATCATGATGTTTATATTGACCATTATTATACATTATTTTATTATTATTATTACTAATTATAATTATATTTTCTATCCCCTAACCCTTTGCCTAAACCTATTCCTAACCATGAACACACTCAGACACAAACAACCTCTCCATACCACGCAATCACCCACCACAGTGTTGTTTTCTTTCACTTTTCTGTTATCTAAGTGCATTAATTGAAGCAAAGATGCCATTATCAGTGTGGGGTTGAAGCATTACTGGCTTGCTTACATAACACGACAAGTTCAAGTTTCTGCCTGGAGGTGAAGTGTGGTTGTGTATCTGCTTTTTGTCAGTGGGTGTATTTAAAATACAGGGGTACTGTTACTGCCACACATGATACCACACTCACAACTGCACTTGCACATTCTCATTGATGTCTTATTGATGTAAAGCTCTACCTGATGCTCTACTGTGTGAAGTCAGAGAGAAGAGTTTGTGTGTGTAGATGATGATTGTGTAATGAAAGCCTAGCTGGATGTCTCT